CAGTTTTTGCCTTTACAAGTAAAGTAAGCTGCTGGATAAGTGGTGCTCACTGAGACTATATCTTATCAATGTCCATAGAACAACTTATCTGGAAAATTCCATTGCAGATTTGACATTTTATTATACTGCGTTATTTTCCAGTAATGGCAATAGCAGAATTATTTAGAGGAATTGAGCCATGTTATGGGAAATACACTTATTGGCTTTGAAAAATTTGATATGAGGTATGATAGGTCTTTCTGTTACCAGCTAGCTGAGAGACAATACATAGTTAGATGAAGAGGGGGAAAAGAAAAAAAAGATTTGCATTTTGTTTTTTAGTGTTTTTGTGCAGATGAAACCACAGATATCTGACACAGATATGGACTTGAGCTTCTAGTAGAGGAAAAACTGCTTTCGGTTGAAGCACAAAATATAATGCAAATCCTTTACAGTTTTATCTCACCCTGTATCCTCCACTGTTATCTGTACTGTGCTTTTTGCATGCTACATGTTTATTTGTGAGTCTTTGTATGTGTTTGTGAGTCTGTCTGTGTGTGTGCGTGTGTGTGTGAGATACCCGAATGACTGTTCAGACTGTCATGTTTGTGCTTGCAGGGTGCCAGAGAGGAGAGTCTGCATTTACTGCGACAGTTCTACAAGGCGAGTACATAATAACACAGATTCACTCATTCATATGCTAACTTATAAAAATAAGAGCCTTGCTTTTATGTCTCACCTGCCCCCACATTGAATTGTATATCAGCATGAAAGAAGTGTAAAGAACTTGCATGGCGATTAACATTGACATTAGCGTTAAACATTTAAGTGTTTAATGTTGCAACGAGAGATTTTTGGCACTCGTACAATGTAAAGTTTGTTGTTCTACCAGACAGACAAGGATAATTTACAAGGAGTCTAAATAGGAAGTTTAAAAAAAAGTCTGGTTTTAAATCCAGTCCTTCTTGAATAGTCTCTGAACTGAAGTTCAATCAGCACCTGCCGGTAAATTCTGGTTTGTCTGACAGTGAAACTTTACAAATGAAACTAAAACCTTCTGGAGATAAGACTTTATTGTAGGTGCATGAGACACTGACAATAACTGGAGCCATTTCTCTGAAGGTACTGTATAGGAGACAAAACTGAAAGTGTTTTCCATACCCTATATGTCATAGTTGCATGCTTAAATAGCCGGTAGCTGGCTTTCTGTTTCATTTTGATAATTTGAATATCAGTTTTGGCATCAGTCATGATTCTGTTATTTGCGACATTTGGGAAAACGTTGAAGAGAAGTGACTGAAAATAATACCAAAAAATGTTTAAATCTGGTGACTAAACAAAGGAAAACCACTCAGAAATGTTTAATGCTGGTTTTTTGTTCATTTGGAGGTTTTGCCTTCACAGAGAAAAAATTTATTGGTGCAATTACAAGGTCAGAGCGGAAATTTTTATGGTTCTGTGAGTTTGAACAGGGTTTTCTGATGAACCACAAAAAAACAAACCAAAAGAAAAACAAAATTGTAGTTAAATACTTTAACATGTCCAGTGGACATAGACAAATTTGAAGAGATTAATTTATTTGGACAAGAGGATATTTGATCATCTTTAAAACAGTGCTATATAAAATTTAGTGTATTTAAACAAAAACTAAAGGGGGAAGCCATTTGTTCAAAGAGCAAAAACTTCAGCAGTGCTATAATATTCTTCTGGAGGAAAAATGAGTACACCATTGGCCTTAGAAACTGGA